GCATTAAGTGAATTTTCTTGAAATTAAGTATTTAGTGAAAGAAAAGCAGGAAAGTGAGCTTAACAGATAAGACTATACTATCTACTAATTTTCATACTATTTTACAATAAATGTTTCTCTTTGTATCTAGAAACTAAAGAAAATCACTGATCAAGAGACACATTGTTTCAAAATGGTTTACTTCTATCACAATAAAGGAAAATATTTGTAGCTCAGGGTTGATATGAGGTTTCCTTGGCACTCTGAGCTTGGTTGTTTTCTAGCACTGATGATGTTACCTAGTTTGGTTATAAAACAACTGCAAGGAAACAACCAAGGTCAGAGAACACCAAGGAACCCTCCTATATATCACAATATTTTTATTTACAATATTATTTTTACCATGATGCTACAAAATAAACTCTTCATAGGATATATTATCGAGTCATGAAAACATTTTTTTTATTTTATATTAATGTACATCTTGCCCATGCTAACTCATGGTTTCTTTAATCATTGTTTTCTCAATTAACCAATTTGCCTAAATGTCCATTCTGAGCTAGCCAACTATACTTTAGTGTACTCTAATATGTCTGAAGACCCAGCCATATAGTGCAAAATATGGAGGAAATGTTTGTATTAGTGAGTTGGTAATAAACAAAGGGGTTTTTTTCTGTCCTGTTGTGACTTTCAGATACTACTACATAATTAATGTTGGGATGGGCAGTTCTCCTATTCCAGCAAACTTATTCTTGTGTTTTTAGGAACAGATCTTCAGCCTTTTCATTCTTTGGATATTTAAGTCCAAAATTTATTTTTCTTTAAATTAAACATATTATTAAAACTGCTTACCAAAATGATGTTAATGTTCAGGGAACAAATATTTTTCATGTTGCTAAATAACTAAAACTCATTCCCTATGTCTTGCTCTTTTCAAAGGAAGCAATGGAGGTGCCAACCCATCACCAATTGTTTGTGACAAGAATTATGCATGACTTTGAAAGTGATACATTTTTTCCAGAAATTGATCTTAAAAAATATAGACTTCTACCTAAGTAAGTATTATATAGACAAAAAAATCTTGCATCAATTCACTGTATTTATACTAGCAATATAAAATGTTTCATTGATTTACCTCTACTGAAGCAAAACTTGAAGAAATACATTTGGTTTAACAATACAGTATGAGTAAAAAATAACATTTCATGTTACTTTCAATTTAAAATGTATTTATCCACTAAATTATTATTTGTCTCTCAAGTTATACAGGTATCCCTGCTGATATTCAGGAAGAGAATGGAATTCAGTATAAATATGAAGTTTATGAAAATATCATCTAGACCTTATTTGATAAGAGCAAAATTACCCTGTAGATCTAAATCTATTTGCAGAATTTATCAAGACTTTTGCCTGCATTTTATTCTCTACAAGAAGAAGAAAAAAGTGCCTTTGTGCTCATCCTTCCCCAATTCATTGAAGCTATTGTATAAAGAAAAAACATTTTCCCTATAGCAGCTCTACTGACAATAGCTGCCACTTGTATAAGCAAAAAAAGATTTATTTGCAAATATAGCTCAGTTTAGCTGTTGAAAATTGGAAGAGGAGCATCTGTATTACATATTTCATGCCAGAAAGCAGGTGAAAATCAAAATTCTGAAGGTCGTAAGATGTATTTCTGAATTAATGTTAATTATTAAAAAGATAAAAGAAGTTTCTCTTCTATTGTTCAATTGCAGCTCTTTTGTGTTCATAAATATGTGTACTATCAAATACATTCCATTTTATTTTTCATGAATAAAACTGTGTTCTAAAATCCTGTTTTTTGAAAAATAAGTCTTTGTCAGATATACATGTATAAATTATACATGTATGTGTGTGTGTATGTGTGTGTGTATGTATGTGTGTGTGTGTGTGTATATATATATATATATATATATATATATATATATATAATGTTAAAACATTTGATCTGTTTGTGTCAAGAATAATTAGGCAATTTTCCAAATGTTGTAGTGCTGTCATTTGTATTAATGATGACAGATACCAGGAATTGTAGATCAGAAGTTCTGGAAAGTTATAAATCCCATACTCCAGATTTATATACATAAATATTCATTGCATGTATTTAGGCTAAACACATATTTATGCAGAATTCTGCGACAGTGATCCACATTCATGAAAGATTCACAGATTGCACTTAGCTATGGCTTGCTAAAGAAGGTAGAGCTGGCTAAAATTCATACAAAATTAGGCAACCTACGTTAGGATTATAGATTGTTCTATGCTAAGTACCATAGGAAAATGATCCCTTTGTCTGTTTGAAATCCATTGGGAGCTAGTGTTTCTCAGGACCGAAATACAAAAACTGTAAATAATCACCTGTTAGCTCAGTGTTAGAGTATATATAGAGTAATTTCTATATTAGTGAGTTGAGTAAGTAAAACATAAGAAGTGCCTACTTTAACTGTCAGAACACTGTCATTCTAAATTGCTTTAGAATTACTACTAAACAATGTTTCCTTCTTAAATGTGCTATGTTGACTATTAGAGAATCTTCTGAATCCGCATAGCAAAATGATACACTATGCAATAGGCTCGTAGCTAAGGGACTACAGCTTCAAAGTACCCAATAGGGCAGGATCAAAGAGCAATAACAGTAAGCATGAGCATCTCACAGAGTTACTATCTGATATCACCCAGCTCCTTTCAGTCCGAATCTGGGGACTCAGGACTTGTTTGTTTGTTTAACAAAGGTATATAGCTGCCCCACTCATACATAGATGACTCCAGGAGGTTTGCAACATTAAAAATCATAGCATAAATACGAACCCATAAAAAAACCCACCTACCTCCTTCATGGCAGCAGCACCATGTTCTTGATAATGTGCTTAAGAGTTTTGCCTTACTGGAAAATTTACCAATATTTTTTTACAGTAGAGTTGTTATGGGTTTTCCTCTGGGTTTCCAAATACATAGGTAGGTTTAAAGATCCATGTGAAGGATATTGCATTACTCTTAATAACCAACTTTAAAGGAATAAAAATAGGAGTAAGAGAGGTTCCACCACAAAACCGCGGTTGACTAAAGCGCGGTGACAAAACCGCACCGTCAAAACCGCGCGACAACAGCGCGCCGACAACAGCGCGCTGTAACATAACCCTAAACCTAACCCTAAACCTTACCTTAAGTTAAATCGCGCTGTTGTCGGCGCGCTTTTGACATCGCGGTTTTAGCGCCATGGTGTTGTCGGCGCGCTTTTGACGTTCGCGGTTATGTCGTGCCACGGTAAGAGAAATCAAGAATATTAAGGGGAGTTGATTAATCAAATAAAAGTTTAACAAACCCTTCCAGTACTCTGTTGTATTCATATTTGTATTCCATAGTAGAAGCAAAAGAGCATTAGTGACATGTTGCCATTATATTTTCTGTTAATTATTTAAAAGAATAAAAGAATATATATAATTACGTATTACAAGACACATTCAGCTCCGCCAAAATTTTATGAATGAATATGTTCAAAAAAAGGCCAGTTTGGTGTAATGGTTAAGGTTAATTATAGATCTCAAGAAACAATTTTGCACTTATATAGGAAAGTATTGTGTCGCTTCTAATTCGTTATTCTTTTCAAGAAAAAAAGACAATATTCGAAATGTGCCAGACTGACAATTAAAATTAGCTTAGCTGTTAATCAGCTTATTTCATGCTGTATTTCGAAGAGCAAAAAGTGAGCAGAGATCACTCATATAATATTGGGATATGATGGGAAACCAGGAAGTAAAACAAAACATTTCCACGCCATTGTCCCTGTAGTTAGCTGCAGTCAAATTCAAAGTGAACTTTGTCTTTATATTTTCATTTCTATTGTTTCTTGGTTGTTATGGATTGCTATCCTGAAAAGTAAGATACAAGCAACCAAAATAAATAGCAAGAAAACATATAAGCGGGGATACAATTAGTATTTCATGGAGTTACACTTAAATAGGGTATACAGATAGAATATTTATAAATGTATAAATAGGGTAAGCACTTAAATAGGGCATGCCAGGTTTATATATTAAATACCCTATTTACACTTAAATAGGGTATACCCCATTATATAATATGGGATATAATACGGTATAATAGATAGACAATTCAAAATGCCCATATATTGCCCTTAACTGAAATTCTCTACTCAGTACTGATAGTTGATGAAATTTTTATTACAAATTATTCAAGCTGTAAACCTAACAATTTGTTATTTAAAATTTAAGTATTTGGGGATGGAATTGTATGAGTAATTGATTTTATTTTAAATGAAAAGTCAATGCAGCTTATAATTTTGGGACAATTTAATTTTCTCCAGGGGAAAAAAAAGTAAATGAAATTGTACTTAGCATTCTTGTGATAATATATTATAAACTATCTTTTATCTCAGAATGGTTTTGTTAAATTGTTTTTAAACCATATTTTTTCACTTCTTTTTCATCATCAATTTCCATTTTGTCAAAAACTTTTAAACATAGAATTCTATGTTTACTTATGACAATCCAAAGATAGGCTTTAAAAACATTCATGGCCTTTAAAAATAATAGATTTATTAAACAGAATACATCATTATTCTTAATTTTTAATTATGAATTACAGATCATCCTTGCAGGAGATGATCAGGGTCAGCCCAAAGGTGGGGTCATCTTCAGTTTGAAGTCTCTATGCCTGCCTCAGAGATCTAAATCCAGTCTCCCCCACACCTTAAAAATCTGTTGATTCTTATCTGACATATTTGCCTGGACCATTAGTAGATTCTTGTATAGGTAGCATAGAATAAACTTGTAGTACTTTTGAACCCTATCCCAGCTCTCAATGTCTTGCACTTGTCAGTCCTTGCCTTATAACCAATCACTTAGTAACCAGTTACAATCTACCTATAAAAGGGGATTTATAACCAAATCCAAAGTTCAAATCATTGTCTTCTGTTCCTGCAAGCACTTGGTACTTTATGGCTGCTTACAGCATTCCACAATTCATCTGAACATGTTTTATGATGGTTTGCACTTCCTGTTTTTAGCAAAACTGTACCATAGCAAATAAGGGTTTCTTTAACAACTCCAGTATTTGCATTTACAATTGTTCTGTACACTTAATAAAGTTATGACCATAATGGGCAGCCTCCATTACGGTTGTAGCTTGAGGACTACCTCACGTTATTACCAGCTAATGTCATTAATCTAGTCTAAAACATGGAATATTATTGTGGACAAACATGCTTACATTTGGCTAAGAGTAGAAGCAGCAGTATTAAAATCCTTGTGAAGTGACAAGTTGTAAGATAATTCCTTCAGTTCTGTCGTATATCCAACATATTAGAGCATCTTAAGAGTAACAGCATCTCCAGCCCATTTATTCAATAGCATGATAAATAACATTTATAGCATAATCATTAACGTTTAGCACTTTTATCTCCAGAATGTACAAGTATACTAACTTTTGACACATGGTTGCATTTTGAAATTGTATCACAGTTACTTTATTGGGCTTTGGAGAGACTAGCATTACTGCAGCAAAACTAATTGCCGAGATGCTCTGGAACCCTAGAGTATACATTTCCTGAAATTGTACAATTATATTTTTTTCTTTTTCTCAAATTCTATCACTATGATAGGAAATGATTTCATTTGGCATAGGAATAAGAAATATAATGTTTATACGCGGTTGTATCCACAAAGTATTTTCTACTCATCAGGTTCCCTACCCTACCTAAGGTTTTTAATAGTTTAGGTGCTAATAGATAGCATCTATCATACTCCAAACAGAACAACAAGAATGGCTGAGTTTCATATTGCCCAATTCATTCTTGCAAAACAAAACAAAAAAATAGAGAGAGAGCATTACCGTAACCTATTGCTACATTTGGATATGAGCTTCAAAAAGGACAAAGCTAAGGTGGAATAGTATAGCACATCCTAGGTTGCTAAAATGAGATTATTGGCAACAATGTTGTTATTTTCTTTCCATTAAATTATATTTTGTAACTTGGTCACACCAACCACAGTAACTATTTTCTTCATTCACATCATCATAAAGATACAACTAAAGAGACATCACATCAAATTACTCTACGTTAGCAAGAGATTACCCACATTGACAAAAGAAGTAGGCTGACCAGGATGGCTGTAGTCACTAATACATCATGATTGCATAAATTAAAAAATGTGGTAATTATACTCGCCAAGATTTTGTGGAAGACTGATGCATTTTAGGTGAATCACCAATCTACTTTTGGAACTCTAATGGAGGCCATCTGGTTTCAGCTCTCTTGCTGGTGCTACTATTAAACAATATTTAATATTTAAGCTGTTTAGAACACTTTGTTCCCAAGAAAGCATGAATGAGGGGGATTAAATTATATCTGTATTATACTTTTCTTTCTGACTGGTAATTAAATTGTCATTCATTGTGCTATATTATTCATTACACTTAGCCACATAGTACCTGGGAGAATTTTTTTTCTCCTGTTCTACAAGAGATTATTTCAATGCTACTTATTTTTAACTTACAGAGTGATGACTACTGCGGAAACAAGGGTCATGCTTCTAAAGATGAGGAATATCCTACTGTCTCGCAGTATTGTAAGACTTATAAAACAATATTTTAAATCAATCATTAACCTAGCACTTTGAAAAGATTAAATTTGATGCATAAGGAGAAGCCTAAATTAAAATAATAAGATGTAGAAGTGTGGGTAGCAAAACAGCATATCT